CCCGCTCTTTCTATATATATATATATTTTTTTTTTTTTTTTTGAGAGAGAGAGACCGCCAGCAGGGGTTGGGCAGAGTGAGAGGGAGACACAGAATCCGAAGCAGGCTCCAGGCTCTGAGCTCTCAGTGCAGAGCCCCACGCGGGGCTTGAACCCACAAACTGTGAGATCATGACCTGAGCCAAAGTCCGACGCTTAACCAACTGAGCCACCCAGGCGCCCCAAGCGTCCCACTCTTGATTTCTGATCCAGCCTTTTGGGGCTGACAGCGCAGAGCCTGCTTAGGATTCTCTGCTCCCTCTTTCTGCATCCCTCACCCCCACCCCCCGCATGCATATGCCTGCACTCTTTGCCCCAAGCCGTTCTTCATACTATTCACTCGCCCTGAAATCCCTTTCCACTTCACATCCCATGGAACCTCCTAGAATTTCTCCAGGACGTTTTTGAATTTAATTCAATCAACCTTACATGGAAGCCTGACGTTAGGTTTTAGGAGGTGCCGGAACTACAGAGACGTGGAAGGCTCCTCCCCTCCGGAAGTTCAGATCTTTTCCTTTCCTAACCACCCCTCCCCCAGCGCTTGATGTCTGGACCACACATTTTGCCACTTGGTCACGTTCAAGTTAGCGCATGCTATGGACCGAATGTCTGTATCTGCACCCCGCCTGCCGCAAATTCATACATTAAAGCCCTAATCCCGAATGGTATTTGGAGGTGGGGATAATGAGGTCCTGAGGACGGAGGGAGCCCTCATGAATGGAATCGGTGCCCATATAAGAGGCACAAAACAGATGATCTCCCCACCCTCTAAGGATGCAGCAGTATGGCATCTGTCTGCAAACCACGAAGAAGGCCCTCACCAGGAACTAAATCATCTAGCAACTTGATCTTGGACTTGTAGCCTCCAGATTTAATGATAAATACAAGTTTTTTGTTGTTGTTGTTTAAGTTACGGTCGATGGCATTTGCCATGGCAGCTCGAGCCTACTAAAACAGTAAAACATACAAACCACTCCTATTTTTGTCTAAGAACGGAAAGAGTCAACGCTAAAAACTCTCTTGTTTAACAAATAAGCACAAGTTCAGAAGTGTGCCTGGCACACGGTAGGTCCCCAATAAATGTAGAGTGAAGAAATGACAGGCACTGGGCTAGACCGTGGGAATACAGAGAAGGAGAAGACATTTCCTGCCCTTGAGGTGCTTAGTGTCCCTGCGTCATGCCTTGGTAGGTGTGACAAGCCTAGACGAGGTGCAGGTGTGACACAGGAAGGGGTCAGTCCAGGGAAAAATCGTCAAAGAGAGCTGATCAGAGAGGATGTCTGTGAAATGAGTTTCTAGTGATCCAAGGTCCGTAGCCATGAGGTGCAGGGATGTGCTTACAATAGATGTTGTATATTTAACATGATAGGGATTCCTCTCCCCTCCCCTCCCCGCCCCCAGGTGATATTAAATTAATGGTGCATTTTCAATCAGGGAAATAGCAGCGGTTAGTAGTTGAAATGGAAATAATAAATAAGACTGCCCAGGCAGGGCAGGCAGAATGACGACAGGAGTGAATAGCCCAGTGGTAGTGGGCAGTCAGCTGTGCCATGAGGGGCAGCCCAAGACAGCCATTCTGTTACAGAAAATGAGCGCAAATTAATAACTCAACTCCAGACAGTTGCTCATGACCACTGCTCTTCGCCTGGCCCTGACTACCAAAGAACAAAATCCTAAAGAAATAGAACACGGGCCGCAGGCCAGCACAATTTGTCAATTCATGACTCTGGAATCCGGTGATGCTTTGATGATGAAAGAGTGCGAGAGTGAGTAACCTCCTATCCAGGTAAGCTTTTGCCCACAACCAATTGTTCTCAGTTTGGTTAGTCCGTGGGCTTGCCCGGGGCATGGCTCACTCACCAGCAGCTCCGACCCACCCCCAGCCCCAAGGAGCTGAGTCCTACCCTGGGTTCCCATTGCCAGATCACAAATGTCCTTTGGAGGCTCTGGTCAAGAGTTTGCTGGTTGTTCTAAGGTTCACCCAGACCTGGTGTGTTAGTGATGGCATCCCCAGCAGCCCATGTGTGCATGCACACGCATACGCGCACACACACAGTCTCCAGATACCCCTGGCCCTACTTGCTCAGAGTGTCAGGGAAAAGTGTCTAACCTTCGCATTCCACAAATCATTCTCATTAACACAGTCCTTGTTTTCTTTCCAGCTGTCTGTCCCCCTGTTGAAATTAAGGAGGGAGTTACTAATCAGAAAGAAATGGAAGACTCAATCATAAAATTAGAGGATGGAATTAAGAGCTAGAAAGGAAGAGTGGGGAGGGGAAGCCTTCATTTCTTGATGAGTGATGGTCACTCGAAGCCGGTGAGCCCATGGAGGAGGTTACGAAATACCCAACTGACAGGCTTCAGAAACAATAAGGGCCTCGTCTGTTTGGACTGGGTGAAGCATGGCCCTGGAGACCTGAGCTTTGTGACCTCATGCTGGAATGGGAGATAGTTGAGAAAATGTGCTTAGATAACCAGATCTACCCCTCCTTGCCCTTCCGCCAGGTCAGAAGTGATTCCCAAGGCCCCACCCCGTAGTCCCCAGGGACACGGGTCTATGAAAGTGTGAGGGCAAAAAAACATGGAAGGAGACAGGCCTTTGGCAATAAAAGCCTTCTAGAAAAGGAAGGCTTAGGGTGAAGCAGAGCTTATACACGGCCCTTGCCCTAGAGGAGCTTACAATCAAGATTCATGTATCAAAGGACCCGCAAAGGAAAGTAATGTAATGTTTTGTGAATATGCCATCATCTGGGCTGAAAACACCTCCTTCAACAAAGAGAGGCAGCAGTCGGCTATGAAAGAGAAGAGCTGCTATTAGCCAACGGTTAGAAGTAGCTACAGTGGCGGCCCCTGGGTGGCTCAGTTGCTTAAGTGTCTGACTTTGGCTCAGTCAGCATCGCTGGGTCTGTGGGTTTGAGCCCCGTGTTGGGCTCTGTGCTGACAGCTCAGAGCCTGGAGCCTGCTTCAGATTCTGTGTCTCCCTCTCTCTCTGCCCCTCTCCAACTTATGCTCTCTCTCTGTGTCTCTCAAAAATGAATAAACATTAAAAAAAAAAAAGACTATTTTTTTTTTTAAAGTAGCCAGAGGGGGCTTCAAAATGTCAGAGGAGACTCTACCTAAGGCTAGGGCTGCCCCACCAGGTCTGGGCACCGAGCTGGTGTCCCAGGGAGGGGCTTCATGCCCACATGGGAAGGCACTTCATGGTGCAGGGGGCGGTGGGAGTGGGGCGTTCACCTTCCTTCCCCTTAACATCCTCCCCCCACCCAGCCTTTCTCATTGTATTCTCTTGAGCAATACAATGTCCAGTTCTAGAGACCACCTTTTAAAAATATTTGCAACCTAAAATGCACTCAGAGGGGATGCGAGCTCGCTATAGGATGCCCAGTTAAACTGAGTTTCAGACAAACAAGGAATACTTTCTAGGGTAAGTATGTCTGAAACATCGCACAGGGCGCACTCATTCTGAAAACATATTCCTTTTTTATCGAGATCTCAAAGTCAACCAGGCATCCTGTATTTTTATTTGCCGAATCTAGCAACCCTTGTCCAGAGAGGAGTTACCTTATATGGAAATAGGTTCTTCTGAAAGACT